GGCCCATTCCCTTCGTAAAACGTACATTTTCAACAAAGTTGCCTTTTGGGCTTTCCGACGTTACAGGACGGCCCAAGAGGCGCCCAAGACCGCCCCAAGACGGCCCAAGAAGCTTCCAAGAGGGCCCCAGGACAGCCCAAGAGGGCCCCAAGACGGCCCAAGAGGCGCCCAAGATGGCCCAAGAGGGCCCCAAGACGGGCCCAAGAGGGGGCCCAGAGGGGGACCACGAACCGCAAGCTCGAGCCTTCCGCCCCAAGAGGCCGCCAGGAGGCCCCAAGGAGGCCCCTCAAGAGGCCCCAGGAGACCCCCAAGAGGCCCAAAGGAGGCCCCGAGAAGCCCCAAATCGGCCCCCAAAATGCTTCGAACCTGCTTCCAGGAGGCCCCCGACAGGTTCAGAGGCTCCCAAGAAGCTACGTCAAACTCCCAGCGAGCGGCCGGACGAGGCCCCCCAAAAAATCCCAAGAGGGTTCCAGTATTTGTATCCTTCAGCGCTCTCTGGCCTTCTTTCCCCTGCCCCCTTCCCTGCGACTTTCGTTGACTCAAGCTCGCCTCCTCTCCATTTCCTCTCTCTGCCTCTCTATCTCTCTCTCTCTCTGTCTTCTCTCTCTCTCTCTCTCTCTCTCCATCTCTCTCTCTCTCTCTCTCCTTCGCTCTCTGTCTGTCTGTCTCTCTCTCTCTCTCTCTCTCCCTCTCTTTCTCTCTCTTTCTCTTTCTTCCTTTCATATTCCGTGTCCTTGCGACCTTCTGCAGTCCCCGACGTCGCCACGGCTGGATTCGCTCGAGCGTGTCTTGTGATGTGCGGCGGTGCGAAGCCCGTCCCACTGATCAAGGCACAGGTACGAAATGATGGGTCCATCATTTCTTGCCTTCCCATGTGCGTTTTCCCAATCGATTCCTGGGCCCGAGGTCGCAAGAATTACGACGTCGGAGGTCTGGGGAGGCGGGAAGCACGACCTGGACCTCCGACGTCTTGGAAAAATCACGACGGCGGTTTCGGTCTATTTTCGGCCTCCGGGGCCCCTCGCAGGGTCCCGGGACCGTCAGAAAACGACTCAGGATGAAAAAAAAAACATCCCCAGGAAGTCGTCGAGAGGTCAAGGGGCCGCGCACAGAAAGCATCACGACATCGGACGTCCAGAGAGGAGGTAGGACCACGAGGAGGAGGGAGCCCAGACCTCCTGGCGACGCAACACCAAATACAACAAAAGCTTCCCCGCGACTTCCCCCAGAGACTCTAACTACAGAAACTCCTTTCGTATTCGGGCCAGAAGCATCCAGAAACGATGTACATTAGCCCTGGCGGGGGGAGTGATGGCGATGGTGATGTTCATGATGACGACGGTGACGATCCTAGCTAGAACCTAAGCGCGCGCGAAGCGCGCGCGTGGTTCTAGTATATATATTATATATATATATATATTTATATATATATATATATATATATATATATATATATCAGCGAATCGGGAAAGGAGCGGTTTGGCAGAGAGAGAGAGAGAGATATAGAAAGAGAGAGAGAGAGAAACATGACAAAGTCCGTTACACCACTCGCACCCTACAGGGCTGGTGGGATTTTCGACCATGTTCTGCCCTAGGCGGCCCAAGTCAGACCCACGGGCGCCTCAGAGGGCCCCAAGACGGCCCAAAACGGCCCCAGGAGCACGCCCTAGAGGCACGCGTCGTCCCATGCCCTTGGGGACACGTGCATTTTTGGCAAACCTGCTTCTTTGGTCTTCACATGGCCCACGACGGCCCAACCGTCCCCCAGGATCGCCCTACGACAGCCCCAGGGCGGCCCAAGAGGGCTCCAAGACGACCCCAGAAAGCTCCACGACTGCCCAAGAGGCCCCTGAGGGCCCAACAATGTTCCCAAGGGAGCCCCAAAAGGGCCACAGGAGGTACCTAAGAGGGCCCCAAAACGACCCAACGGAGCCACAAAAGGACCCCCAAGAAGGTCTTTGATTTTCGCAATATTGGTTGTTCGTTTTTTGTATGACGTGCCAACGTCTTAACACAAGAGGACCCCGAGGCACTGAGCAAGCGATCTCGCGCCCTCACAGCGAAGGAGCGCTTTCCGTGCCCGTTCCAAGCAGGTAACGGAAAGAGCGAGGTACGAGTGATGACGTTATTGAATCGCTTCGCTCATTCCGCCAACTCGTATTGTGCCATCGCGGGGTCTTGGGGGGTCTTGGGGGCATTTGGAAGCTTCGTGGGAGCTTCTTGGGAACTTTGGGAGGCCTCGTGGATGGCTCTGGGTGGGCCCTCTTGGTGGTCTCTTGGGGGGGGTCTGCCTGGCCTCTTGGGGGCCTCCCGGGAGCTTCCTGGGGGTCTCTTGGGGGCCTCTTGGGGCTTTCTTGCGGACTGTTGGGGGCCTCTTGGGGCTCTCTTGGGGGCTTCGTGGGGCTACTTGGGGGCTTGTAGGGGCATTTCGGAGGCGTGTTTGGGCGGGAGGCTCAAAATTTCCGTTCAGGTTGCCCCTGTGGACCTCAATCATGGGGCCGTCTTGGGGCCTCTGGGACCGTCTTGAGGGTTTCTTGGGCCTTCTTGGAGCGCTGTTGGGCCGTCTTTGAGCGGTCTTGAGGGTTTCTCGGGCCGTCTTGGGGTGATCTTGGGGGCCTCTTGGACCGCCTTGAAAGGTGTGAAAGACGAAGAGGCGGATATGTAAAAAATGCACGCTTTCCTAAGGGAATGGGACGATTTTTGCTTGTGGGAGCCCTCTTGGGGCGCCGCTTAGGGACCTCTTGGGGCGTCTTGAAGGCCTGTTGGGCCGTCTTGAGGCCATCGTAGGCGTTTGGGGTGATATTTCGGCGTCTCCCGGCTCTCTTGGACCGTCTGGAGGGCTTCTCGGGCCCCTCTTGGACCGATTTGGAGCCCTCCTGGGCTCCGAAAAAGAGTTCTTGAGGGTTTCTTGGGCCTTCTTGGAGCGCTCTTGGGCCGTCTTTGAGCGGTCTAGAGGGTCTCTCGGGCCGTCTTGGGGTGATCTTTGGAGGCCTCTTGGACCGCCTTGAAAGGTGTGAAAGACGAAGAGGCGGATATGTTAAAAATGCACGTTTTCCTAAGGGAATGGGACGATTTTTGCTAGTGGGAGCCCTCTTGGGACGCCGCTTAAGGACCTCTTAGGGACCTCTTGGGGCGTCTTGAAGGCCTGTTGGGCCGTCTTGAGGCCATCGTAGGCGTTTGGGAGTGATATTTCGGCGTCTCCCGGCTCTCTTGGACCGTCTGGAGGGCTTCTCGGGCCCCTCTTGGACCGATTTGGAGCCCTCCTGGGCTCCGAAAAAGAGTTCTTGAGGGTTTCTTGGGCCTTCTTGGAGCGCTCTTGGGCCGTCTTTGAGCGGTCTTGAGGGTCTCTCGGGCCGTCTTGGGGTGATCTTGGAGGCCTCTTGGACCGCCTTGAAAGGGGTGAAAGACGAAGAGGCGGAATAGTAAAAAATGCACGCTTTCCTAAGGGAATGGGACGATTTTTGCTTGTGGGAGCCCTCTTGGGGCGCCGCTTAGGGACCTCTTGGGGCGTCTTGAAGGCCTGTTGGGCCGTCTTGAGGCCATCGCAGGCGTTTGGGAGTGATATTTCGGCGTCTCCCGGCACTCTTGGACTGTCTGGAGGGCTTGCCGGGACCTTGCCGGGACCTTGCCCGGACCTTGCCGGGACCTTGCCGGGACCTTGCCGGGACCTTGCCGGGACCTTGCCAGGACCTTGCCGGGACCTTGCCGGGACCTTGCCGGGACCTTGCCAGGACCTTGCCGGGACCTTGCCGGGACCTTGCCGGGGTACTTTTCGTCCGGGGACCCCCAGGGCCCGCCCCGCGCGCGCGAATTAGAAATATTGTTGAGCAGTTACCGGAGATCTTAGCACGCCTCTGGCCCGTTGGGCCGGCGAATTTTGGGGCGAAGCCGTCTAGGGAAGGGTCCAGGGGAAGGGCGTTGCCCAGAAAGCTTGCAATAAAACAAGCTAATCAATGTTATGCGTATTTGTTTTCTTGGTGTTTTTATTTTTTTGGTGTAAAACAAATGAAGCGGTTCCCGGGCGGCTCCCGTGGTCGTTTCCTCGTATTTGTTCGAATTGGACGGCGCATTGGCCCCAAGACGGCCCAAGAGGGCCCCAAGACAAGAGCGTTCCAAGATGGTCTCATATGGCTTTCAGACGTTCCGAGAGCAGATGCCCTCAAGAGGGCTCCCAAGAGGGCCTGACGAGGCCAAACAGCAATGATTTTCTCTGGGTGTTTGAAGGTGTTTCGGGTTCTCGCCTTTTCGGGCCCAGAAGGGCCCACAACGGCCCAAGGCGTCCCAAAGATCGTCCCAAGACGGCCCCAGAGGCGCCCCAAGAGGGCCGAAAACAGTCCAAGAGGGCACCCAGACGGCCCCAGAGGGCCCCAAGACGGCCCAAGAGGGCCCCAGGACGGCCCCAAGCCCAAGAAGGCCCCAAGAGGCTCTCAAGAGGGCCTGAGTGGGCGGTGTGGGCACTGGGCTACTTGAGTGTTGGGACTGGGCTGGCTCCAAGACGGCCCAAGAGTCCCAAAACGGCCCACAAGGGCCCCCGAAAGACTCCCAAGAAGCCCCAGAGACGCCAAGTAACACCATGGCTCCCAACAGCGAGCGGTGACGTAACAAGCTCTGAACACCACGGCTTCCCAGATCTCGGTGACGTAAAAAGCGCTTAAGAGCAAGGTACCCAAGAGCGAGCGGCAACGTACAAGTCCGTGAACACCAGGGTTCCCAACAGAGAGCGGTCACGCAACAAGCTCTTAACGCCAAGGCTCCCAAGAGCGAACTGTGCCATGAGCCAGCTTGGGCAAGTTCCTGCAGCGCTCTGCCCGTTCCCATGCCGGCCCGCTTTCAATGTGTCCAGGTTGTGTGTCATATGCCTTTAGGATGTTTGTTGGGATGCTGCGGGAGGCGCCTCGGGGGTCCCGTGGAGGCAGATTTGAGACCTCTTGGGGGCCGTTTTGGGGCCTCCTAGGGCGCGAGGCACAGGGGACCTGCGGACACTCCAACTCGTGCCCGAGGGCACGGTGGCGGATCCTTGGATCGGTGCAGAGTTTCGAGAGCGCAGTGCTGCCCACCCTCCGTGAGCTCAGCACGAGCTGGAGGGGAACCGAGCGCCAAATAAGCCTCCCTGCGCGGATCATACGCCACCACATGATCGATATCGACCACAACGTCGCCCAGGTTGTCCGCCAGTGCCAGTGCCAGATCCACATCTGCGAGAGCCTGATCGACGAGTACGACCGAAAGGCCATGGACAAGGTCGGCGCTGCGCAAAAGGGGGCCCTGGCGAGGGGGGGTTGGCCTTCTCAGGAGTCGCCTCCCAGAAGCCCTCCCGCCTTCCAGGGAGTCTCCTCTCGGACGCCGCTCGCGAGGGCCCAGTACCTTCTCCCAGGAGGTCGCCCCCCCCTCCTGCCCCTCTTTGTGTGCGCCGTCCGCCAGTCGAACAACATCCTCAACATCCTCACGTTCATCACCTTCCTCATGGTGCCTCTGCAGATTCTGACAGGCTCCGTCGCGGCTCCGCGCCTCCGTGTGGAGTGGGAGGTGGAGGGGAGGGAGAGGGGGAGGGGGAGGAGGAGGAGGAGGAGGAGGAGGAGGAGGAGGAGGAGGAGGAGGAGGAGGAGGAGGAGGAGGAGGAGGAGGAGAGGAAGGGAGGAGGGGAAGGACAAGCTAGGTGCGCTCGCGTCATATCTGACGTCCTACCCCTCCCTCCCATCCCTTACCATGGCGCTGATTTTCTCTATCCGCGGACGCGTGTCGTAGCGGACCTGTGGCTCCGCGCGCGCGTGCGTAGTGGGTGGTGGTGCACGTGCGTGCGTGCGTGCGTGTGTGCGTGGTTGTCGTGGTGGTGGTGGTGGTGGTGGTGGTGGTGGTGGTGGTGGTGGTGGTGGTGGTGGTGGTGGTGGTGGTACGTGTGGTGTGCTGGTGCTGGTGGGTGGTGGTGGTGGTGGTGGGCGGTGCGGCGGTGGTGGCGGGCGGATGGGCGCGCGAGAAAAGGCCCGCGCTGGGGCGAGAACGCCATCCTGAACGACGGAGGCCAAACACCGATCCGAAAATGAGGCCCACGCTGCAGCGGGAGCACGATTCGGAACGATTCGGGAGCAGAAATGAGGCCGGCGCCTCAACGAGAGCAGCATTTTGGGAAAAAATGACGCCGGCGCCTCAGCGAGAGTCGTTTCCCGGGATTTCCCGGGCATCCTGTGTGTAAAAAAACAGTACGCGGAGGATGCGCGGCTATCACCCGGACGCCATCAGGGGAAGGATTCGGGAGCAGAAATGAGGCCGGCGCCTCAACGAGAGCAGCATTTTGGGAAAAAATGACGCCTGCGCGAGAGCAGCATTTTGGGAAAAAATGACGCCGGCGGAGGAGGAGGAGGCGGAGGAGGAGGAGGAGGAGGAGGAGGAGGAGGAGGCGGAGGAGGAGGCGGGGGCGGAGGCGGAGGAGGAGGCGGAGGCGGAGGCGGAGGCGGAGGCGGAGGAGGAGGCGGAGGAGGAGGAGGATGAGGAGGAAGAGGGGGAGGTGGGTGAGGCGGGCGAGGAGGTGGAGGAGGGGGGGGAGGAGGAGGAAGGAGGAGGAGGAGGAGGAGGAGGAGGAGGAGGAGGAGGAGGAGGAGGAGGAAGAGGATGTGATGATGGATGGAGGAGGGAAAGTCTCCTCCCTCCTGCTTCCTCCCTCCCTCCGTTCCTCGCACCCTGCCCGCCTCTGTGCTTCCTTTTCCACCCTCTCAGCAGCCAAGAAGCAGTCGAAGGGATCTTGGCCTGGCGGAGCAACAGCTCAGCTACGTGTATGACCCTGGGACCATTCCGAGCCAGTGTGTTCTCAAACAAGATGCTTGTTTATGGCCAAGCCACTCTGGACGTCTTGTTGTTCTACGGTTCTCTTTGCGCCCCAAACAGAGAGTTCTTGCACGCTGGGTGTGCAATATATAGGGGGCGATGTGTGCAATCAATGGTGTGCAATTCCTTTGGCGCCAGCTAGCTGGCGCAGACGATGTGGTGCAATCTAGGTGGTGCAGTGGTGCAGTCTATGCTGTGCAGCAATTTATGGATCGCACGCTATGTGGTGCAATCCGTGGGGTCCAATCTTAGGCGAAGATGCGGCGACGAGCGCCCATCAGGCGAGCTTCCCGCAATCACATCCAGTCCCCGAGGCGGCGATGCGACGGCGTCGGGCGAGCGCCAGCCGACACTTTGGCATGAGGCGGAGACTGGGCGGCGCATGCGGGCACCAGGCGAACACCCAGTAGACCCAGCGGCGACGATGTGGTGAAGTGCGGGCACCAGCCCACTCCCCGGCACACCCAGCCCATTTGTTGGGAATTCTAGACGCTTCGCGTATCCCCACCAGCCCGTCCAGAAACGACGCCCAGGCGAGTAGAGGGGTGTCCTGAGGGGCTTTTCGGCGTCTTGGGTGCCTCGGGGGGGCCTCTTTGGGCCGTTCGGAATCCTCTTTGGGGCCTCCTCGGGGCCTCTTGGGGCCTCTTGGGGCCATCTTGGGGCCTCTGGGAGCACCGTGGGTGCCTCTGGGGGGTCTCTTGGGGCCTCTTGGGGGCCTCTTGGGGGCCTCCTGGGGGCCTCTTGGGGGGCCTCTTGGGGCCATCTTGGGGCCATCCTGCGGCCTCTTGGGGCATCCTGGGGGCCTCTTGCGGCCATCGTGGAGGAAATCGATCAAAGAAGAGGGGTTCCTAAATTTGGGGGCCTCTTGGGGCCATCTTGGGGCCTTTGGGGGCCTCCTGGGCGCTTCTTGGGGCCTCCTGGGCGCATCTTGGGTGCCCCTGGGGGGTCTCTTGGGGCCTCTTGGGGGTCTCTTGGGGGCCTCCTGGGGGCCTCTTGGGGGGCCTCGGAGCCATCTTGGAGGAGATCGATCAACGAAGGGGGGTTCCCTAATTACAGTCCCCCCCTCAGGAGCCACGATCCTCGTAAGGGGTGTCGAATTTTAGCCCTCCCAGGGGTCGTTCTTGGACGCTCTAACTACCCGCGGCCCCCCCTGTCCAGGTCAGTGGGGAGGGGGTAGGGGGAGGGGTAAACCCCTCCCCGAAGGGGAAGAAGGAGGGGTGGAAGAGGAAACGCTCTAAGCCACCGACGCCCAGAGGGCTGGTGGGATTGTCCGCGAGCGTGGACCCCAACCAGTGAGCCATTGCACTGAGGATGTGTCGGTTATGTAACGTAAAACGTAAAATGCCCAGTGCAAATTTTGTGGTGTAAGCTGTGTGGTGAAGCCTCTGTGGTGCAAGCTGTGAAGTGATAGCCACGTGGTGTAAGCTGTGTGGTTAGAGCTATTTGGTGCAAACTGTGTAGTGCTGTAGTGCAAGCTTGGTGCAGGCTGGTGGCGCTCCCAGGCGAAGCCTCGACAACCTCACCCATTGCACGGGGCGCCCCCGAGGCGCCCATGGCCGCCCACCTCCGGCGAAACCTCGGCAACCCCAGCCAGTGCACAAGGCGTCCACGAGGTGCCCACAGCCGCCCACCAGGCGAAACCTCGGCAACCCCACCCAGCGTACAGCCCACGAAATGCCCACGGCCGCCCACCAGGCAAAACCTCGGCAAACCCATCCAATTCTTGACGCTTCGCGTATCCCCATGTACATGTACATGAGGTCCATCGACGAGGCTGACATCCAGAGGGACGAGCCAGCCCAAGAGAAGGTCATCAGACTACAGAAAACTCTCGGAGGCGCATTCAACGGGGCGTGGACAGGTTGGGTCCGCAGGGCAGGCAGCCTGCAAGGTCTGCCTTGGGTCAGCATCCATTCGGACCCCAAGAGGAACACACTGGAGCTTTGCGAAGAATTCCTGCGGGCGTGGGAAGCAGCGGGCTACGACGCCTACAAGATGGCGAGGCACCGCCAGCTCCGGGTGGAATGGCAAAAGGTCACGGAGAAATATCGTAGCCTACTACAGCGCAGCGCAAGGACCAGCGCACCCAAGGGGCAAGATAGCGAGGGCCACCCATACCCTTGGGCCGACAGCAGCAGGGCAGTACCCACCCCTCCGGTCCCACCCGACAGGACAAGCCACCGCGAGCAGACCCCGTCTTCTAGCACAATCAGCGGGGCTGTGCAGCAGCTTCCGTGGAGCAAGCCCAGAGCCAGCACAACGGCCCCGCCAGCGTACACCGACTACAGGGAGACCACCTGGTCGGGAGCATCCAGCTCTGGAGCCCCATGGCGCCCAAGGCCGCGCTGGGAAGGGTGGGGCCGCCAGGAGGGTTCATGGAGAGGCGCTGCGTGGGGAAGCAGGGAGAAGAGGACCGCCCCGAAAAGTGACGAGCAATACGCTGACAAGCGGCAGCGAGGAAGGGAACTCGCACGCTGGTAGCCCGGCAGCTGGCCTGGCATGGGCCCCCTGCTCAGGGCAGGGCCGACACAACCCAGAACCCCCAAGGCGCACGGCCTTGGGCTCCCGGGATAACGTGTGACCCCCTTCGCGGAAGGCTAACCGCGCCCGTATACCGTGGGAGTGTCCTCCCCCTGGAACGGTCCCACTTCGGACTATGTCCTGCGGCTCCGGCCGCTCTCCCCCGCCTCTTAGTACCATTTCAAGTCACGCGGCTATCGGCTGCATCTCCCCGTTCTTCGTCGCCCCTTACTTTCAGTTGTCCAGCGGCTATCGGCTGCTACCCCCCTTCCTCGTCGCCACTGCTCTTACACTCAAGACCAGCGGCTATCGGCTGCTAAAACCCCCCTTCCTCGTCGCCGCAGCGCGGTGCCCGAGGGGAGCGGCCATCGCAGGGCCCACCGCGCACTGGCAAGAACAGTCGCGGCGGGCCCCGTGGCCGCTGGGTTCCCACTAAGCGGCCACACCTGTCGGCACAGCCAGCGACCGGGCGTGTTTCACCGCAGCGGCGGGCCGCGGGGGCAGTCTGGTGTTACCTCCTGGGGTTGAGGCGATAGACACCCACGTACTCGTGGGCCTTTAGCCCGTACGGCCGGCTGAAATAATCCCGTCGTCGGTTTTGGCCGCATTGACGGCCCGTGGAGCACCGAGCAGACTCGCTGAAGGCGTTTTCTCACCACTTCTCGGCACGCTTCACCCAGTCACTTTGCCCGTGCCGTGTGCGGGCCGGGACGCATCGGACGCGGGCCGCGGCCCCTCCAAGTGCCCATTCGTTTGGAGTCCAGCAACGCGCAGTGGCTCCCGTCGTCGCTCGCAGGAGCGGCTACCACTTTTGACCCCCATTCATATGGGTGTGGAGCCCGTGCGGTCGGCCGATATATGCTCACCCACGGTTTTGGCCGCTTTGCCGGCCCGCGGCGGACAGGGTCGACGGCCGAAGGCCCGCCCGGCCGTTTCAGCTAGCTGGTGGCTCTGGCCACAGTTTGTGCCTCCTGGGAGCAGAGGCACCACGCCGCCATGGTACCCGCGGCCCCCGTGGGCGCCCTTGCCTGTGGTCGGCTGAAATAACCCCACCCAGGCCTAGTTCGGAAGTGTGGGCCGTGAGGCAGAGGCGCTGGCTGAAGGCCTTCCTCTTGCATCATCCGCCAGTTTGTGAAGTATGCTCACTGGCCTGACCCCCCTCGGTGGCTTGTGTGTGTGGCCCGCGCGCGCGTTGGCGCTCACGCGCTGGGTGTCAAGTGAGTGGATCCGATGCTTCCCCTTAGGTTGTGCTGTTTTTCTCTTCTCTTCTCGCGCCTCCCTGCCCCCCCCCCCTTTCAGGCTGGCAGTCGGTACTCCACCTGCGGGTCCGACTTGGTTCCACCTGCTCAGTCGCGTCTGACCCCCTCTGCTGGCACACGCTCAGCAGCTTTTGGGGTCCGCGTGCGGTCGGCAGGGCTCCGGCTTGCCCCCATCGCGGTTGCCCTCTTCGGCTGGCACACGCTCAGCGGCTTTGTGGGTCCGCTGTCGGTTCGCCCCCACCCGCGGGCTGAATTTCTAATTATCTGCAGGTGCACTCTGCGCGGTGTCGCGCCAATTATCTGTCGTTGTGCCCCAGCCTCGGTCACGCCGCCCTCTGGACTTCTCCTTGCGGGCCGCGAAGCAAAAAAAGTATCCCCATCTGTGCCTGGTTCTGTTGCCTGGTTCTGTGATGCCAGCTTCGAGCACATGAGGTGCTCCGTGAGTGAGGCCTACGTGCCCCTTTTCTGCTCGCCTTCGTTGCACTTTCACGGGCGGGCGTGCCAGGGTTTCAGCTGCCCGCTATGCCCTGCCCTTCGCCGTCCGGTCTGCTGGGTGCTGGCGCCACTGTGCGACGCCCCGCTGTCTGTCGTTGGCTGCCGTTTTGGAGCGGCTTAATGAGGTTCATTTTGTTCCTCGCATGTGCATTCCGGCGTTGGCTTTTGGCCCGCTGGCAATTATCTTGTTTGCTGCCCCAAGCTTGTTTCGACCCGCTCTCTGGAATCGTCCTTGGAGCCGCAGATCATAACAAAAGTATCCCCTTCTGTCCCCTGTTGAGATTGACCCGCTCTCTGGAGACGTCCTTTGGGCCGCAGATCAAAATCATATCCCCATCTGTGTGAATCCCGCTTCTTGACCTTTGTCCTGGAGCCGCCGACCAAAAAGTATCCCCATCTGCTCACATCGAGCGATCGACCTCTGCGTGTTTATGGTCGCGCCTCCGCGCCATTTTGGCTGCGCTTACTTGCTGGTCGCCACCGGGATTTTCAACGCCACCGGGTTTGGGAGTATCGGTTCTGGCTCCCCTTCTGAGTGGCTGCCCGCTCGTTCGCTTCGCTTGCCTTTCTTTTCCTTCTGCCTAGTCGCGGCCCGACTAGTGTTCGGACGGCTTTCGACCCGCCTCGCGTGCCTGTTGACCAACAGATATCCCCATCTGCCCATCCAGAAACGAGGCCCAGGAGAGTTGCCTTGATCAGGTCAGTTTGGAACTATGCAGTGGAACAAGTCTTGGATCAGCCTGATCAAGCCCATGAGTGGGGCGGCAACGAGGAGGAACATGAGGAGGAGGAGGAGGAGGAGGAGGAGGAGGGTGAGGAGGAAAAGGAGGAGGAGTCCTCTTGGGGTTCTCTCGCGGCCCTCTTAGGGTCCTCTTGGGGCTATTGGGGAGGGTCTTGGGGTCCTCGTGGGGCTCTCGTGGGCCCTCTTGGGACCCTCTTGGGGGCCGTCTTGGGGCTCCTTGAGGGGTCTTGAGGCCCTATTGTGGCCATCTTGGAACGCGTCGATCAAAAAGAGACGGAGGCGGGACACTCGCCTCTTGGGGCTTTTTCGACGATTGTTGGGCGCTCTTGGGCGTCCCCACTCGGAGGTCCCACAACGCCACACAAGGCCTTCAATAGACCCTCGATGGCTTTCACGAGCCCCGAAGGCCAAAAACGGCCCACCAGGCTTGCCAAGTGCCCTCAACGTGCCCCAATAATCCTTCCAGAAGGCTCTCAAGATACCCACAAGAAGAGCCCCCAAAGGCTGATCATCTCGCCGTCTCCATGTTGTCTCCATCCTACCCCCATGGCCACACGTTTTCATCATCCCTTCCTCGCCTTGGCAGCCTCCTGAGCCGTCTTAGGCCTACCAGTGGCCCTCCAGTGGGTCCCGGGGATGCCCAACACCGGCACAGATTTTCACAGTTTGCTTCCCTTCAGGGAGCCCTAAATGGTTGTCGGCTCTGGGTGTTCAGAACAAGCCCCCAGGCAGCTCAAGAGGCCTGCTGGGGTCCGTTCGGGACCGCCTCGGTCGGCTTTCTGGCTGTCTCAGGCCCTGCCAGCGGTCTTTTTGAGGGCCCAGTCGGGTGCCGATGCCCAGCAGATTTGACACAACCCGCTTCCTTCAGGGAGGATCTGCTGTGTCAGCTGTGTGTAAACATTACGTCAGTGTTCGGTTTCCCGAGGTGGCCCCCATACAGCCCCAAACCACCCGCTGGAGCAATTGTGGGCCGCCTTGGCAGCCTCCCGGGCCGTCTTAGGCCCCTCCAGTGACCATCCGCTCATCTTCTCCCTTTCTCTGCTCCTGCGTCTTCTTCTCTTCTTCATGAATTCTCCCTCTCTTTTTTCTTTATTCTCTTCTCCGCCCTCCTTCCCCCTCCCAACATCTTCCGTCTCGCCCTGTCTCCTCCTTCTGGATTTGCTTCTCTTCTCCTCCTTCCTTTCCCTGCTCTTGCGTCCTCCCCTCCTTCTCCTCCGCCCTGCTTCTTTCCCGTCCTCCTCGCTCCTGTTCCCCCCCACCCCAATCCGTCTCTCTTGCTGGTTCTTCCGATCCTTCTCCTCCGTCTCTTTCCTGAGGGGAACGGGCAACTCGGGAGCCAGCATGGGGCGCCCTATTTGCTTCCCCTCCTCAGTTTATCTTTCTCGCAAGTCATGTCCACTTGATCTCCAAGGTCGTGAGTGATGGCTCTATCAGGCTTTGGGTTAGACGGAGTTCATCTGCTCAAAAGCTAGATCTACCAGCGTTTTGTTTCCAACGATTGTCATATTTTCTTTGACTCCCCGATTGCCTGGTGGGTATCCAGGTATGCGCCAGACTAGTTTTGAGCGTAGGCGTGGTGTTGTTTTACCGTTTCAGTTTTACACCAGTAAGCCCGTTCCAGGAGTGTCACCGCTCTCCGCGGCGTCCGGATCAAGCAACGTGTTGGATCTAGCCGCTTGTCAGATCTCTGTCGTGATGGCAAGGAGGAGCGCCGTGCGACGAGAGAGACAAACAACTGTGGACACGCTCTACCACAGGGGTCGGCTTGAACTCATGGAATCGACGATCCGAACTATGTAGAACAACCTATAGTCAGATTTGGGTCGAACGCGTTTTCAGCTTCAGCGATCACCGGAAGCACGAACGAAAGCCCAGGGCGTGCTTAGTATGAACCACGGACAACACAACATGCGTTGCCTTTTGATGACGTAACGAAGTTTGTTGATGTAACAGTGGCCGACTTTCGAGGATCTGATCGATGCCACGCTGTCTCCTGCACCGTCGCAGTCTGTGCATCAGCAGCTTTCAAAACAACAGGATTGCCATCCATCATTGATCAGGTGAACGTTTCTTATTCGGTGTTTCGACATTGGGCGGAAGGGGGGGGGTCTGGCTCCAGACCTCCGCTAAATGCGACTGTCTGCAGTCGTGCGTCCTATGGGGGACACTCCACCTGCTTGAAGCAGGCGCCCCAAACAGCCAAGACCTACTCCATGTGGGGGGGGAGGCAGTGCGAGGGCCCGCGCCGATCGGCAAAACAACAAATAAGACAGCTATCATCAGTGGGCGGGCGGGCTCGTGTTCAGGCTGGCTCACTGAGGCCTCGCCGGGGTCCGCCCTGTTGGCTGCTCACTGGGGGCCCCGCCTCTCCTCGGGGCGGCGGCCGGGCCCCCGCGGGACCAGGCTACTACGGCATGAACTTCGCCCACGGGCTCTACGGCAGCAAGGAGAAGGAGGGCGAGCTGTACTTCTAGGGGGCCGCATGCGAACCCTACCCCTACCCCGCACGATTTCTGAGGGGGAGGGTGGGGTTCACTTCGTTCGGGAGCCTTCGAGCGGAGTGAACCCCACCCTCCCCCTCGGAAATCGTGGGGGGCAGGGGTAGGGTTCGCATGTGGCCCCCTAACTTCTGGACCTTCGGCTCCATAGGCACGCCCGTGACGGCCCACATCGCGGGCCGTCGTCGCCGCTGCCGTCGCCGCCGTCGTCGCGCGCCGCCGCCACCGCCGCCGCCGCCGCCGTTGTCGTCGTCGTCGTCGTCGTCGACGCCGCCGCCGTCGGCCTCGCAGGCACGCTGATGATGGCGTGCATCATGCTCTACCTGAACAGGACCCTGTGAGAGCAGCTCAGAGCTCGCAGCTGGTGGCGCGCAGGCTGCCCCCGCGAGGTGGCGCTCTGCTGGGAGGGGCGGAGGGGGTGCCGCCGTCCAGGCGCCAGGGCCGAGGATCGCTGCTGCGTATGGGCGTCTGATTCCCCCCCGGGGGTCCTCTGGCCCGGAGATCCTGGCGTCGCACTTTTCCCCAGAGCGGGCGATTTTGCCTCTTTGTGGGCCAATGGACCCTCACGGATAGATCCGGCTCGAAAATTGCAGCAGAAAGACGGGGCCCAGGGTTTTGGTCGCATTTTTCACGACATTGCACATTTTCGTTATGTCGGATCTCAGAGGGGGGGGGAGGGGAGTGGGGAGGCGATGTCGACAGAAGTTTCGTGTTGCAACTCTACGGCGATCCTGACCGAGTTTGCACGCGTAGTTGAATGGCTTGGCGGGCGCTGGTTGAGCACAAAACGTCGCCGCCGAGCCCCTTATATCGCCTTCCCGCGTTAAGCTACCTGTTTCGTCCGGCCGACGTGTCTTGGTGTCGCGGCGGGGTTCAGCGTCATTTGGGCAGACACGCAGCGCTACCATGCGAACTCTGGATATGCAGCGCTTCGCTGGGTCGTACACGGAATGTCTTCACCGCAGCGGCTTCTTTGTTATACAAGCCGTAGCAGAAGGCTTTCTCGTATGACATTTGAGGAGCATGCGACAGAATTGACGAGGCTTCTCCGAGGCCACGTCAAACGCTCATTAAGAAACGCAGAGTAGCTCTACAGAGCATTCAGACAGCCCTCCCGAAGTCGCCATCGATGCCTCTTGCTCGTCTCTTCGAGCTTTGTGGCCACCTGGGCCTCTGCGCAAGTCTGCTTAAGCGCTCTGGGGAGGAGGAGGAGGAGGAGGAGGAGGAGGAGGAGGAGGAGGAGGAGGAGGAGGAGGAGGAGGCTTTCCTCACGCGCCTGGCCCCAGTGGACACCCATCGCAAAGCGAGGTGGGTACTGGGACCGCGGATTAACCGAGGAGGAGGAGGAGGAGGAGGAGGGCTGCGCGTTGACGCCGTGCTCATGGCCGCCAACGTCGGGATCGGCAATCGAGGTTTTACAACTGCCCCTGCTGGCGCCCTCACCCCACGAGGGGCCAGAGCGGCTGCCCGGGTAGCGCCCCAGCCTTCGGAGGCCAGGTTCTCAACCCATGCCCTGCCCCCGCGGCGCCCACAGTGGAAGGCAGCAGTGGTGGCATGGATAAAACACCGATTGCACACGGTAGGTTCGTGTCGTCTCGACCGGCGGCGACCCCGCCGCCGGCGTCCAACGCCGCCGGCGTCCAACGCCGCCGGTGACCCGGAATCGGTCGATACTGAACGATCTGACGTTTCGGAAACGGCCGATCGTTCAAGGTCGAACGATCCCCGCGGTGTCAGGAACCAACGCCGAAGTCGGCATTACACGAACCCGCGGCACGGGACCCGCGGCGCGGCTTCTCAAAGGCGTCGGAATCAGAAGGGGAAAACACACAGACACGATCGATCATCGATTCTCAGGAGAATATGGAAAATTATGGGAAGTGGGGGGGAAGACAAAATCCCAGAAAGCATGGACAAATAAATGGGGAACCCTTTTATTTGTGTCTATTTATTTGTGTGTCCCAGGGCCCTTTCAAGGGAGTTTTCGTTGCCTTCGGATCAGGCTCAGAAGACTCCGTAGAGGGCGCGAGGGCCTCCGGGAAGCCCCGCCGCCCTCTGCGCAGGCCCGCCGCCCCCCCCCCCTCCTCCCCCTCCTCCCCCTCCTCCCCCTCCTCCCCCTCCTCCTCCTCCTCCTCCTCCTCCTCCTCCTCCTCCTCCTCCTCCTCCTCCTCCTCCTCCGCCCCCGGGCGCGCCGCTGCACGAGGCACAGAGCACCGATCGCCGACGGGACCCCGCGGGCCACCCGCCGTGGCGCGGCTGCGGCTACGGCTTGCGCGTCGCGGCTCGGGCTTCGATGGCCGCCCCTCTGCCGCGCGGGGGCGGCGCGCGGGCGGCCGCGCCTCACGCCACGCCGGGCGGTGAGCGTGCGAAGCCTCGGGCGACCGGGGAGCTTCGCTGCACCAGAGAGAGCCTCGCCCTCGTGGCTTCGAGGAGTCGACCTCTCTTCCTCGGCGTGTGGGCCAGTTGGGGGTCTGATCGAGTGGTCCAGCACCGGTTCCAGCCACCATGAAATGCGGGCAGGTTCGAGGCTCCGGGTTTCGCCTTTTTTTGTTTTTTGGTTGCTTTTGCTTGTTCTTGTTGCTCGACCTCTGGGGGCCGTTTCCGGGCCCCGGGACTGTAAAAAACGGATCCGGAGTGAACGAGTGCATTAGATGGACCCCGTGAGGGGTCTGGGGACCGATTTTGAGCGGATTTGTTCTCATCTCCCTGTTTTGTCAGGTTTTCTTGGGGCCCATCCAGTTCAGACTCCCTGGCCGCCTCCAATCAGAGAGGGCCTCGCCCTGGAGGGTTCGAGGAGCAGGCCTCTCTCCCTCGCCCTCATAATGAGGGCGAGGAAGAATGACATTCTTCCAGACCTTCCGTGCTGACCATCCACACTCTTGCGCTTCGTGAAACGTTGATTTTTCCTGCGTTTCCTGAGGTTTTCAATAGTTTTAATGCATCACTTTCCGCGCCTTTCGCAGAGGTCGGAAGGTATGGAAGATGGAGGTGCAGGGCATTCTGAGGCCGGGGGAATGTGAGGCGAGGATGACCACTTCTAGCGGGGGCTCGCCGGGGAGCTGGTGGAGTGCTGGCGGAGGCTGGTGGTAATTAGCAAGATGTGCCGTTCGAATCGATGTGCCTTTCGATTCGGTGTGCCATGTGGAGTGCTCGCGTCAGCCATCGCGTTTTTGCGGTATATAGCGACGTCGCGATCGATCCGCGTGTGTTTGTGTTTGTCGCCTGCGATTTGCCCCGCAGCAGCTCTGCGTTCGTCGAGGACGCTTCGCGCCCTGTGTCCACTACCTAGCCTCTCTCGGACACAGTGGATTCCATTCTCTTGGCGTTTTTCCACGCATCGGTCTCGCGCCACGCGTTCGACTACAGTGTGCGCGCTCGTCCGAGCGTCGGTCCTGAGCAGCTCCCGCGTGTGCTGCGCGCCTGGCCCGCCGTGCCTGGCGCTCGCCAGGATTCGGACCAGCAGGCAGGTCTTCTTGCCTCCCCAGGTCCCCGGCCACCTTGGGCGCCTTCCTGCTTCAGTCACAGACCGGTCTGCCCTCTTCCTCCCTCTTTTTCGCGGCAGTCATCCGATCTACTTCCAACGCCTTTTTTTCTTCGTTGTTCTACCCCAGGTTCGCGTCAACGTGGCGGCGACCCCGTTGCGGGCGTTCAAGGCTGAACGCTGCCAGTGGCCCAGCATTGTCAATTGTTTTACGCTCTGGTGGTCGAAAAGCTACCCATCCCTCGAGGCTGAACGAGCCACGCGGAGTCCGAAGCCGAACGCCAGGGTCATCAAGACACATGGCCGCACCCGCTTCGATCTTCCGACCGGCCCGTGCACGGGGCTCGCCGCAGCGCCCGCCGCGCCCGTCCGGTGCCGCGCCTGCCAGGCCGCGGAGCGCCCGCCGGAAGCGGCGCCGTGGAGCCCCTGGGCTTCCGCTCGGCGGCCTGGGGGGTGCGGCTGGGCCCGGGCGTCTCCGACGAGGCCTCCGGGGGCCTCCCCCTCCCGCCCTCCTGCTGCCGCTCCTCCCCATAAGGTCCTGGCGTCGCACTGTTGTTGCACGACGGGCGACGTTGCCTTGTCTTGGGCCCCGGGGGAAGCACGGATCGATCCAGCTCGAAGAATGCCGCAGACGGGGTCCGGGGCTGCGGTCGAGTTTTTGTTTGCGCTGTTGCATTTTTCGTGACGTCGGGTCTCAGGACCCTCCTGTTGCTTCTCCTCTCCGTTCCTCCTCCTCCTCTTCCTCCTCCTCCTCCCCTCTCCTGTCTCCTCCTCCTCCTCTTCCTCCTCCACCTCCATACATCTTCCTCTAGATCATAGACAGCTCCTCCCTGTCGCGCCTCGAGACGTGTCGGTAGGGCGGGGCGAGCGTTTCACTTGAGACTTCCTCACCAGTTCTGAGCTCACACTCGGGCTACAAGTTCGCAGCACTTTTTCAATAGTGGAGCGCAGGTCGTTTGCAAAATGCGACTCTTGCCTCGGCGCCGTCCACATTCATCTCGAAGGCTTGTAACAGCTTCAAGGATTGAGCACAGGCCGCTCTCGATGCGCCTCTTGCCTTAGCGCCGCGCACATGTGGTGTAAACACGTGCAATAGTTCCTCGGAGTGAAGGGGGGCCGTTTTCCGAATGGGCTTCTTTTGCAGGGCCACGCACATTCGTCTTATCAGCTTGCAGCTTGGTTTTCGCATGCGACCTCCTAAAGCCCATTTGCTAGACATATGAGCATATGAACACATGTAAACTACGCTCGTTTGAAGTGTTGTTCCTTTTCAACATGGGATTCTCTCTCTCTCTCTCTTTCAACTCCCTCGAAGTCCATGGCCAGAAGTGTACACTTGTGCAACAGTTACACAGACGAAGGCAGTCCTTCTTCAAAAGGGGATCTGGCCTGAACGGCAGATCCACAGTGCGCTGGTCTTTCAAGTGGGCACTTCTCCTAGTGAAAGGGGATGCTTGTAAGGACTTGTGAGGAGAAGACTCGGGACGGGAGGGTG